CACATTTGGAAACTTAAAAACTGTGAGCTGAATTTCATATAAAACATTTTAAAAATTATAATTAAAAGGGGGAAATTATCAGCCAGGAAGACCTTCTCAGTCCCCAGGACAGAGCTCTCTGAGGATTTCTGTGCTTCTTGAAGAAGGTTCACCTTCACACAAGCAGCATCGATGTTCAGAACTCAAAGAGGCTTGGGGCAAGAAGCCCACTCAGTGCCCAAATACTGCCATCAGTCCAGCTGCCACTCACCCTAGTAGTCTTCCATCTGCTACCTAAAATAATTGTACTGATGATGATGGTGGTGGTGGTGATGTTATTTCTGCTGCTGATGGTGATGATGATTTATGATAGTAGTGATGATGATGATGGCGATGACATTGATAACTTTGATTTCTGATTTGGTCGACGTTAAAGTAAAACAATGAAAGCTCTTTCAATATCACAAAATAAACCTGAGCGCACACACTACTATAATACTAAGATTTCACTATCATGGAGAGCCATCTTGGAAATGGGTAATATTATTACACTATGTGCTACATTATTTTGTTCTCTAGTCTGAATATTGTGTACACATTTAAGAATTTGAATTTCAAAATAACAACTAAGAAAGCTTCAAGTAAATAATGATTACTGTCTACTTAAAAAAGATTTTGGATTTGAAATTTTCTATATGTTTAAAAGTGTGCTTTTTGTATAGATGTAAATAATTTTACATGTATATTTAGATAAACATTCATATTAATTTAGGAATTTGCAAATAAATATGTTAGTACATTTAGCACTGATTAGCAGTTAGCAGAAAACTCACCTATGTAAGATCTCAGCTCCTCCAAGTTCACCTCCTCACAGGTCCCACCACATGCTCTAATTGTATAGGACCCAGAGGTGACTGTGCTCACAGACCAGGCCAGGCTGTGCTTGCAGCACTGTCTGCTTTGTAGACCGTCACAGTCTCTACCTCATGGTGTTCAGGTAGCAGAGAGAAAAGTGAGCAACACTGAGATGCTGCTGGCATGGGCTTCTGCTCCCTATGCTCCATGCTCACAGCCTGACTTTGCACTGGACTCTGAACACAGTCAAGGAGACCATGAACTTGATGGTGCTTAAATAGGCCCCTGCCAGTCTGTGCAGGAGAAGATGTAAATATGATAAAGTCAAATGCTTAAATAGCTGCAAAATGAGTAAAAGCAACAGGCATAAAATATACCTAGTCTACCCACAGCTAAACCTTGAACTGAACTTGAATCCAGTTGCAGAGAAGGAGACTGATGAGCAAAGGGGTCAAGACCAGGATGGTGAAACCCACAGAAACAGCTGACCTGACCAAGGGAGAGCTATTGGTCCCCAGACTGATAGCTGGGGAACCAGCATGGGACTGATCCAGACCCCCTGAATGTGGGTGTCAGTGAGGAGACCTCGGAAATCTATGGGGCCTCTTGTAGTGGATCAGTACTTATCCCTAGCATATGAATGGGACTTTGGAAGCCCATCCCACATAGAGGGATACTCCCTGAGCCTAGACACAAGGGGGTTGGCCTAGGCCCTATCCCAAAAGATATGACAGACTCTGAAGACCCCCTAAGGAAGGTCTCACCCCCCCCCCCGGGGAGCAGAAAGGGTATGGGATAGGTAGGGTTTAGTTGGGAGGCAGGGAAGGAGGGGATGGAGAGGGAACTGGGAATGATATGTAAAATAATCTAAATTTTTTAAAGGTGAAAAAATCTAAAACATAAAGGAAGCTAAAAAAGAAATATATATA